AAGAGACAAATATTACACAAACAAAACACACACACGTAGAGAGAGAACATATATAGCTACTTTAGAGTCAGATTCTGTTGTATCGTGTACTGTAGAGTCAGAGCTGACCCACAGCTGATCATCTGGTGGGTTTTAAGAGGCACTTAATCCCATGGGAAGAAATAGTCCACCCTTCTCCCATAGAGCAGCTGGTGGCCTCAAACTGTGTACCTTTGAGATTGCAATGCAGCTCCTTGTCACAAAGAAACCAGAGCTTCTTAAATTAAGAACTTTCCTGGAAGCTCTTAAACCAAGTCCAACTAAGAAACAATATATTTTAAATACAAGGAAAATATTTATCAATAATTTATGTCTTGAGCTCTTTCATTTTATTTCTATAATAGTAAACAAGATAAAAATTCTGATCCCAACCATTGTTCACATCTATTAAGGATTGAACTTGATACAAAATATAGAAAAGTAGTAATTAGCTTTAAAAGAATGAGAAAGTCTCCTCTAAATAGTTTAATCAGAAAACTGAGGCAAGACTCAATAACAGTCAGATAAAGTTCAGAATCAAGAATGAAAATGGAGTATGGATAGAATGAAATATGATTGATTAGATAAAAATATTTTCCGAGCCCATGTCAAATGGTTACCATAATATGTGTCATGGTAGACTCTGATATATAGTCATTCCCTTGTATCCTACCACCACAGAAAAAAAATTCTCCAAATATGAGCTAAGAAGGAGTAAAATTAAAGTACATTTAATATGAATCCACTTTCAAGAAAGGATTGAATCAAGAACCAATACTACTGGAGCTCTATTGTTGATAATAATAATAACAATAATAATAATATTAATAATAATAATAAATCGTAATAATTTAAAAGGAGTTTGCTGTTAGGTCTATTCTAATTCAAAACAACCCTACATTGGTGCTTCTCTGGCTTTTCAGTATTGATTGTTCAGAAATATATTGCTTGATCATTTTTCCATGCCCTTTCAACTTTTTAGTTAGTAACCAGCAGTGTTAACCATTTTCAGGAACTCCCTATTGCTATTATTGGCATTATAAACACTAGTTTTTAATTTTGGTATCAAAAATAAGGAATGCAAGAAAAGTACATGTAGAGCAAAAGATGTAAAATTCCATTTTTAATATATTCCATTTAAGAACACTGAAATATCCAGGTGCAGATGTCTTAACAACCAAAGAAATTGTGTCTGACTTTTTAATCATTGGTATTTAAATGCTTCATGAAACTCCTAGAATTTAAAGGAATGTCTATGAAAACTGTGCACAGAGAAAAGAAGAACTAGGAAACCCTCAGGAAAATTAAATATATAAAGGTTAATGAAGAGAAAACTTTAAAATAATAGAGAAAACAAGTAGGAGTGTAAATATCATGCAAACATCTTGTCTAGAAAGTAGAAGAAAGAGTAGTTGGTTATAACAAGTGAAACAAAATATGAAATAAAATGATTGTGTTTCGTTCTAATTTTTATTATTAGTTTAATGAAAGATTACAGAAATGTTGAGCTTCCCTTCATGAATTAATGCACGCTTTCCTCCATTACTCTCCTCCAGTTCACCTGGTAATGCATTTCTTGCTCCAAGTTGTTAATTGCCATGCATCTAATACTTACTCATACATTAGTTTCAGATAGACCTTTTCTTCATCTGTTCCAAGGCAGTATTTATTATATGTTCTCTCTTTTCCTGTTCGCCCCCATCCTACTCTTATTTTATAACAGTGGTCTTATGTTGAATTTGTCTGTTTGTGATAGATATTTCACTCATCATAATGTCTTCCAAACTGATTTATGTTGTGTAGTATTTTATAAGTTCATTATGGTTTTAGCATTGTGTAATATTTCATTGTGTGAATGTACTACAATTTTTCTATCCATTTGTTTGTTGATGTGATTGTGGGCTGCTTCCTATAAGCTCTTAGATATTGTGAATAAGGCTGCAATAATCATAGGCATGAATACATCTGTTTGAGTTGTCACTCTGGTTTTTAAGGCTTTATTCCCAGTAGTGGGAAAGCGAGTTTAATAGTTATTTCTATTTTCATATTTTTTAGGATGTATCAGACTTCCTTCCATGGTGGTTGCACCACTTTACATTCCCACCAGCAGTGAATAAGATTTCTGATCTTTCTACTTCCTTAACAGTATTTGTTGTTTGCTGTCCTATTGAACTTGCTATTGTTTTTGAGGTTAGCGATATTTCATTGATTAGCTTTGCATCTTTCAGATAGCTAGGAATTCTGAACATTTCTTCATGTGTTCGTTGGCCATCTGAATTCTGTCTTTGGTGATCCAATCATATTTTGTGCCTATTTTGTGATTCAGTTGCTTACCTTTTTTTGTTGAGTTGTTAGTCTATAAATTTTAGGTATGAGTCTTTTATCATGTATGTAATTGCAAATATTTCTTCCCAGTCTTTGGGTTTCCTTTTTACGCTGTTTGAAAGTTTTTGATGTGCCTGTTTGTAAGTGCTGCTGAGGCAAGCATGACCCATAGCAACCCTATGAACAATAGTTCTGAACCTTGTCCCATCCTGTGCCATCCTCACAATCTCTGACATACTTGAGCTCATTGCTGCAGTCACTGTGTAAATTCATCTGGTTGAAGGTATACTTCTCTTTCACCAACCTTCTTCCTTTCCAAGCAATATGCCTCTCTCCAAGGAAAAGTCTCTCCTAGGAACATGTCCAAAGTATGAGAGAGGAAGCTTTGTTATTTTTGCCTCTAAGAAACACACTGCCTTCTTCTCAAAGACATATCTATTTGTTCTTTGGTAGTGCATGGATATTCAGTACTCTTCTCCAATATCATAGCTCAAAGGCATCAATTCTTCTATCTGCCTTATTCATTGTCCACCTCTCATATGCATAGCAAGTGACTGAAAAGACCATAGACTTAATCAGGCATGTCTTAGTCTTCAAACTGACATCATTTCTCCTCAATAATTTAGAAAGTAATAATTTTATGTGCAAAGGAATTTCATTTTGAGAAGGTCTCATTTACCTTTTTTATCCTCTCATGGTTGTAGCTTTTTCATTATGTTTGTAAATCTTTTTACTTTAAAGAAATTACCGATAAACATACTGAGAACTGTTTTTAAAAAATTAGCATATTTTTAAGCAAAAGTATAAAGTGATGATTAGAATGCTAATGTTTACAAAACTGATAACATCAGTGTCTTGAGACATGTAAACTGTGCTTTATTTAGAAATAAAATTGAAGAAAATTAATAAAATAATGAGGAGTAAATTATTCAGTAATCTTTTACAGAATAGCTTTCACTTATTACCAAATCAGTTTCAACGCAAATTTCTTTATTCAATATTTGAAATTCAGAATTCAAACTGGATGAATAGTGAGCATCTATTAGAGAAAGTATTTGAGAAAGCTATATAAGATCTAAAAGATAACTTTACATTTTTACAAGGGGGACTTCGTATATATGTGTGTGTGTGTGTGTGTATGTGTGTGTGTGTAAAATACTGATTTTGCCAAAACAATTTAATAAAGTCTTACATTGCTATAATGTAGATTAAAAATATTTTAGCACTTATAATCATCCACAGTAGTCAGTAATTTCTCCAGGAAAACAAAATATTCTAATAGAAAAAGCTGAGAAATGTTTAGTTTGTTAATATAAAGTTTCATATAAATAGAGGGTATCTTAGTAATGATCTCGTTATGTTTAGTACAAGTATATACTATGTATACACATTAAAATGTATAAATAGAACGAATAGATTGACAAAATTTGGAAAATACTTTTGAGAATAAAATTGTATTATATCTTGAACTATATTATCTTTAAAAGCACTCTTAAAATTGTGTTGTGTGTTATTTCAAGTCACCAGTCGTTACCAATCAGTAGGTTAAAAACAAATCTAAACATATTTGTAGTTCTTTTAAAACTATGCATAAAGATATATCATCTGTATTGTTGCTGTTATTATGTACTGTCGAGTCGCTGTAACCCATAGCAACCCTATGTACAGAAGCTCTGAACGCTGCTGTGTTCTATGCCAGTCTCATTAATTCTGACACACCATCCCCTAGAGCCCCAGTCACTGTATCAATGCATCTCATTTGGGTCTTCCTCTCCTGTGCTGTCCCTCCATTCTTCCAATTATAATGTCCTTCTCTAAGGCCTGGTCTCTCCTGGCCAAAGGCCCAAAGTATGTGAAATGGAGCTTCAAAATCATAGCCTCCAAGGAGAAACTTGGTTTCACCCTCTCCAAGCCAAACGGATTTGTTTTCTGACAGTCCATGGTATGTTCAAGACTCTTCTCCAGCACCACAATTTGAAGACATCATCTCTTCTGTCACCCTTAATCATTGTGCAGCTCTCTGATGTATAGCAAATAATTGCAAAGATCATGGCCTGAATAAGGCTTAGTCTCTAGACTGATATAATTGCTTTGCAGCACTTTGGAGAGATACCTGACAGCAGATTTTCCCAATGGAATTCGTCTTTTAATCCTGAGTGCTGGTGTTAAGAGCGCTCATTGTTGAGCCCAGCAAGCTGTAATTGTTAACAACGTCAGTCACACCTATATTTCTATTTTAAAAGTAAGCTCTTTGATTTTGTAATTTTGTTGTTGTTTTTTTATTTTCTTTTTATTTTTTCTAAGTAAGCTCTTTGGTTTTTGTTTGTTTCAGATACATATGACTTCATGGATACAACATAAAATATATCTTCTGTCATATGTTTACATATGAACATATATTGTGATCAAGAAAACTTGAAAGTCAGGTATCGTACCAATTGAATAACCAAAACAAGCAAGAACATTTTTAAAGTATGCATTTTCAACTCAATCAAGTACATGTAGAATACATTACCTGTTTTCTAAGCAAATATGACAGATAATTTATTTCCCATTATCCTGTCTCTCATATTTGTTTCAAAATTGTCTATCAATTTGTTTCCCAAATCTTATCTCTAGCTTTTACTTATAGATTGAGCAGAAGTCAGGAAACAGAAATGGGAAATCACACAGCAGTAACTACATTCATCCTCCTTGGACTTACAGAAGACCCAGAACTGCAAACTCTGATTTTTATATTTCTACTTATCACCTACATGTTGAGTGTAATTGGAAATCTGACTATCATCTGCCTCACATTAGTGGATTCTCACCTTAAAACTGCCATGTACTTTTTCCTCCAAAATTTCTCCTTCTTAGAAATTTCATTTACATCTGCCTGTATCCCAAGATTCCTATACAGCATATCAACAGGTGACAGAATCATCACCTATAATGCTTGCATGAGTCAATTGTTTTTTACATACTTCTTTGTAATAACAGAATTTTTCCTATTGGCCATCATGTCCTATGATCGTTATGTGGCCATCTGCAAACCCTTGCATTACATGACCATCATGAACCACAGGGCTTGCAAAAGATTTCTCTTAGGTTGCTGGATGACTACATTGTTGATTCTATTACCACCTTTTAGTCTGGGACTTGAGTTGGAATTTTGTGATTCTGTTATAGACCACTTTCTCTGTGATGCTAACCCTCTCCTGAAAATCTCTTGCACAGATACATGGTTTATAGAGCAGATGGTTATCGCCTCCTGTGTAGTGATATTTATCATGACTCTCATATGTGTGCTTTGGCCTTATATATATATTATCAGAACAATTCTAAGATTCCCTTCTGTCCAACAAAGGAAAAAGGCTTTTTCCACCTGTTCTTCTCACATTATTGTGGTTTCCATCACTTATGGCAGCTGCATCTTTGTCTATATCAAACCTTCAGCAAAAGATGAAACGGCTATTAATAAAGGGGTGACAATAATTATTACTTCAATTTCCCCTATGTTAAATCCATTTATATATACCTTGAGGAATAAACAAGTCAAAGAAGCCTTTAATAATGTAATCAAACGAATTCTATTAAGACTCAAAGCAATAGAGATAAAATGACATCAGGTTAGAAATTTAATTATGAATTAAAATACAGTGAAATCCTGGACTATGTCAATTTATTCTCTGTTTATCATAATGCTGTTAATCAGTTCCATTGTATGAATCTTTGTTTTCTTTATGTAACATACACACAGTCAGCTAAATATAAAACTTCATCAATATGAACTACAAATTGTCCTTGTTTTCAGAAAGCAAAGTTGTGTAAACTGCACATCGCAGGTGGTTGTTCATAAGTCTTCCTCCAATCCTAATACTGTATTCTGTCTCGTATAGTTCATCTTTTCAAATTATTGGCTCAGCATATAGTCTGAACAGGTATGGTGCAAGACATCATCCTGACACACATCCTTCCTGATTTTAAACCAAGTGGTCTAGTGAGTAGGGTTTCACTACCAGTGCAAAGGCATTTGGAATCCACTGGCTGTTCAGCATTAGGAAGGTAGGCAATTTTTTCCAATACTGTTTAAATCTCTGAACCCACCAAAGGATCAGCTGTGAGTCAGTTCTGATTTGATGGCAATGAGTTGAGTTTGTGGTTGATCTGTTTGTTTGTTTAATATTCCCTTGTTCTTTTCAAAGTATAGCTTCTGTGGGAGCATAATTATTTGTTCTGGAGATTCTGTTCTTTGTTTTCCTTAATATTTCATGTTTTAATTCAGTGAAAGTTTACAAATAATATTGGTTTTTCACTTACTGTTTTATAACATTTTCTGACATTAATTAATAAATTAGATATTGTAATTAATGAAATTAATGCTGATATATAATCAACTACTTATTGTTTATTACCTTTCTTTTCACTCAGCTTTTTTTATTTATTCATTTTTATTCCTCCTTTTCCACCTCTGTTATCCCTCCATGATTATTTCTTTCTGTGCATAAAACTTTCTTGAGCGTTTGTATTTTTAGTCTTCTAACACAGTTTTAAGAACACACAAAATAGGCCTTGTATAAAATGCACTTAGGTTGCTTCTTACAAGTAAGGATAGTGGAGATCTGCCTCACATATGTTGTCAGGAGGTGATTAACTTGGAATCATGCTTGGGAAGATGGAGGATCAGCAGAAGAGGGGAAAACCCTAGCAAGGAGGATTGACACAGTGACTATAACAATGGGCTCAAGTATATCAAAGATGGACAGATGGCGCAAGTAGGTTAAGGTTCAGATCTTTCACCCAGAAGTTTACTATGAGTCATAGTTGACTCAACAGCACATAACAGTAATAACAATGATAATGTTATTTTTTCTGACTAACTTGTCACGCCATGCAGTTTGTTGTAAATTTATCCATGCCTACAGTATTTATCAACAACCTGCACTATGCGGATGACACAACCCTGCTTGCTGAAACTGAAGAGGACCTGAAGCGCTTTTTGCAGAGTGTCAAGGACTGCAGCCTCCAATATGGATTGAGGCTCAATGTCAAGAAGACAAAGATTCTCACCACTGGACCAACTGGCAGCATCAGGATGGATGGTGAAGAGATTGAGATTGTACACAGCTTTAGTTTGCTTGGCTCCATAGTCAACAGTCTTGGCACCAGCAGCCAGGAAATTAAAAGGCGCATTGCCATGGGAAGGTCTGCTATTAGGGACCTCTCCAAAGTACTGAAGAGCAATGGTGTCTCTCTGGAGACTACGGAGCGTCTGATACAGGCCATGGTCTTTGCAATCACTTGTTATGCATCAGAGAGTTGGACAATGACCAGGGAGGATAGAAGGAGAATTGATGCCTTTGAGCTGTGGTGCTGGAGAAGAGAAGAGTATTGCGAATACCATGGACTGCTAGGAAAACAAACAGATTTGTTCTGGAAAGAGTTAAACTGGGTGGCTCTTTGGAGGCAAGGAATCTGAAGCTCCATCTAACATACTTTGGACATGTTGTGAGGAGAGACCAGTCCTTAGAGAGGGACATCATGCTTGGGAGGGTGGAGGGACGGCGCAGGAGAGGAAGGCCCTCTATGAGGTGGATTGATTCAGTGACTGGGATAATCGGGATGGGAGTGTCAGAGACAGTTTGGCACAGGACAGAGCGGAGTTTAGGGCTGTTGTACATAGGGTCGCTATGAGTCGCAAGCGACTCGACGGCACATAACAACAACAAACAACAGTATTTCGTGAATTCTTGATCATTTTTAACGTGATGCATAATACATTATTGTGAGAATGTAAGATAATGTTCTTAGCCACTCATCCAGTGATGAGTACTTGAATTTTATTCAAATCTTTTACTGTAAATAAGTTTGAAACAACCATAGATGTATGTATCTAAGCATGTCTTTCACTTTCATTTCTTTGTAATATATACCAAGTAGTGGAGTTGCTAGATAAAATAGTATTTCTATATCTCATTTTCTAAAGAAGATGTAAACTGTTTTTCATAAGGGCTGTATAGTGCCACATTTCTCATTGCAGTGTACAAAGGTTCCTATATATTCACACACTCATCAACATTTCATGTTTGCTGTATTGTTGAACTTTGCTGTTAGTGCATTGATGAAATGATATCTCATTGTCGCTTTGACATCTCAATAATAGATAATATCTTGATTAATAAACTAATTAATTAACATTAATTAATAAATTAGATATTGTAATTAGTGAAACTAATGACAGTATATAATCAACTACTTGTTGTTTATTATCTTTCTCTTCACTCAGCTTTTTATTTATTCATTTTTATTCTGCCCTCCCTCCTTTCCCTCCTGTTATCCCTCCATGTTTTTTTCTATCGATGCATAAAACTTTCTTTAGCTTTTATATTAATAATCATCTACAACAATTTTAAGAACATACGAAAAAGGCCTTAGAGCATTTCTACACATGTTTATTGAGTATACAAATGTCTTCTTTGCAAAAAATTTATTCCTGTCCAGTCACAAAAAAGTGTCTATTTAAAAAAAAATTTTAATGTTTTGTTTTCTTGTTGAGGTGATGGTGTTTTTTCTAAATTTTAGATATAGATCCCTTGTCAGAAGGGTCATTGCCAAATAGTTTCCCCTAAACTAGAGCGACTCCTGGAATATTTTTAAATACCAGCTCTAGAATGACAGAAAATTAATTTATGCCTTTGAGTTGTAATATTGAAAAAGAACACTAAATATATCATGAACAGCCAAAAGAACAAGAGTTTTCCTTGGAGGAAAAGATGACAAAATTTCATCATTCAGACATTGGACATGTTGCTAGCAGAGGCTTTTTCTTAGAAAAGGACATCATGCTTGGAAAGATGAATGGTCAGCAAAAGAGGAGGTGATCTTCAACAAGATGGATTGTTACACTGACTGCATCAGTGGTCTCAAGTGTGTCACAGATGACAAGGATGGCCTGGCATAGGACAGATTTGTAATTTATAGGATCACTATGACTTTCATTTGACTCACTGGCACATAATAACAACAATGACAGCCTAAGTTTTAGAGAAGTCTGGTGGCCACAGGAAATTGAGCTGCTAACCTGAATGTGGCCAGTTTGAAATCATCAGCAGTTCTGCAGGAGAAAGATGGGCAGTCATCTCTGAGTGTGATTTACAGACTGCGAAAACCTGCTGGACTATCAGATATGAGCCAGTTCTGACTTGACAGCCTTAAGTTTTTAAAAGTATAAGTCTTAGGAGAAATCCAAGAAGGGTATTCCTTGCAGCAAGGATGGTGAAATTTGGTTTCATAAACCTTGAACATGTTTCAAGGAGATACCAGTCCTTAGAAAAACACATCAATCTTTGAACAGGAGAGGATTAGCAAAAGAGATGAAGAACCTCTTTTAGACTATTCTCTCCCCCATAGACTTCAATGCCGTAAACATAATGAATGGAATCCCCCCAAAAAAAGTAAAAATAAAAATTTAAAAAGAAAAAAAAAGAGATGAAGAACCTCAACAATACATATTTACTCAGTGATGGCAGCAATAAGCTTCAACCTGGCAGAGACTGTGAGGATGGGGCCAGCTCATGAAAAGTTCTGTTCTCCTGATTGTTGGTTGGCTGTACATTACAGTTGAATCAGTGACACCTAACAACAATAAGACCAAAATTGCCAAATACAGCCAGAAATGCACAAGCTGGAGAGGATACAATTGATGAATGGAACTTTCTAAAAATTAACTCCCAGTGTGTACAAAAAACTTTTTCCAACAGAGTGAAAAGAAAACCTACTGAATGGGAAAATAAATTTGGTAACCATCTCAGACAAGAGTATCATATGAAAAGTTTACAGAATCCTATAGGGCCTCCACAAGAAAAAACTGAGAACACAATTACAAACTGGGCAGAAGTCATGGAAAGATTTTTCAGAATAAGGCATTCAGAGGGTCAACAGACCCATGAAGAAATGCTCTAAATCTCTGGCAATAAGAGAGATGCAAATAAAAACCATAATGAGATACTGTCTCACTCCAGTAGCAGTGGCAAAGTTTAACAGAACAGCAAGTAATAGCAGTTGGAGAGGATGTGGCTAGATAGGAACTTCCTTATTCACTGTGGTGGGATTGGAAGATGGTACAACGACTCTGGAAGACAGTTTGGCATTTCCTCAGAAAGCTAAATATAGAAATTTCATGTGAACCAGCTATTTAACTGTTTGGAATATCCACCAAGAAAAAGAGAAGTGAGGTACAAAGGGGGACTTGTACACCAGTGCTCACAGTAGCATTATTCACCAACACAAGAACGTAGAAACAGCCCACATATTCAAGAACAATCAAATGGATTGAGAAATTATGAAACAATAACAAGATGGAATACACATAGCATGCAGGAGCAATGATTTTGTAAATTAGTACCTAACTTGGGAAGAACTGGAGAGCATTATGCTAAGTGAACTAACTCAGTCCCATAAAGACAAATACTGTATAATACCATTATTGTAGAACTAGATAATTAGTAAAACATGTATGAGGATCTAAGGGGGAAGAATGGAAGCAGAGGAGTGAAGATTTGAGGGTAATCATAGGTCACACAATTTGATGGGTAGAAGGTAGGGTGGATAAAGGAAATGGGAA